AGATGGGTAGCCTTACCTTTTTGGTAGCCTAGGATGGCTGTTCCAACCATCTCTGGACCTGAGTTCAGTTAATAATTAATAAAGCCCAAGATCTCTCCTTGGGGAGGAGCTTTGAGTCCCTGGATTCTCAGCCAGAAGCCATTCTGTTCCCCAGGACATTTGGTAATTCTGGGCACAGACAGTCTTGGTTTTTGCAACTGGGGGGAACCTAGTTGGGAGAGTCCAGGGATGCTGCTGGTGCACAGGAGAGGAATAACTGGCCCCAAATTCCAGGAGTGCCCCAGTCAGGAAACCCTGTTGTCAGCCAGCCCAGAACTTTCCAGCAGGTTCTGCCTCTAGCCTGTGAAGCAGCTGTGCCCCAGAGACCCTTTGGTTCTGAAAGGACCATAGAGTCAGTATCCTATCCCTTCCCAGTCTCAACAAACCCAGCCTTCCCACTCAGCCATGTGCACCTCACATATGCACACACACCCCCAGCTGGAGCTGCCCTGGGAAGGGGAGGCACCTACAAAGGGCTTTTGGGTGTGTTTTCCCTAGAGCTCTGTGGAACCCCGTTAGAGACCTATCTTCTAGGGTGGGGGCCAGGCCTGGGGAACTGTGGGTCCCTTTCCTCTTGTTCTCTTCATCTCCATCTTCCTCTCCAATCCTGCTCCTCCCACCCCACGTTCCAGCATCACCCCCAACCCCCCAGAGATTAATGTGATAATTGCCATGTGTGCTGTTTACGCAGGGAGTGGGTGAGCTCACACTCCCAATCGGGCAGGTTCCCAGAGGAACACATTCCGCGATGTCAGGGCTTGTACCTGCTGAGCACTCCTGTGCAGGTGGGCTGCCACCCCCGAGCTGCTTTCTCTGTCATCAGAGAGAGACTTGTCGGGTGCATGTGCGCGTGTGTGTGTCACTCAGGGGATTGGCCTGTCACTCAGGGCATTGGCAGGTGAGCCAGATGGGGAGCAGCCAATGTGCCAGGCTAGGGAAATGGCTGGGCGGGTGGGGGTGATGGGAGAGGTGCATCCATGCCTTAAGTAGAGGACGTTGACCCTGAGAGAAGCGCTGTCTGTACGGGGGTGGGTGTTCCATGCTAGGTGTGGAATGAAGAGGCTGACACTCTCTCTCTTTGGGTGGCATTCTTTGCTGGGAGGGGACTGAGGTCACCCTTAGCTGCTCTTCAATAGAGGTCTGGCTGTGAAGTTTTCACTGGGAGTCTCTCCTGGGGCCAGAATCCAGCAGAGTGCATTGGCCCACTATCTTGCTCAGGGCACTTAGCATGGTTGTCCCATGTTCCTAAAGGAAGAGTCACTTGGGAAGATAAAATGCAATGATCCTACACAAAAGCAGCTTGTGAGAATTGCGACTGTCATAGAAGCAGAGGGAGTGCCCTCCCTCTCACACAGGCAACTCCCCCTTTCCTCCTCCCGCTGTGAGACAGATACACTTGCAGCCCATGAGAGAGGGCACAGCCACAGCTCAGCGGCTGACCTGGCAACTTCTTCCCAAAGTTGCTCCTTTTTTAATCTCAAAGGACACTTTGGTGGTTGCCACTCCTACATTGGATGGTTTTAAGGTTTTACTAATGATGAATCAGAAGAACACTGAAGCGCTAATCGGCATCAGCAAGAACCAAACTAATTTGGAGGAAAGAAGCATGAAGTCCTTTGCTTGCCCACTTCCTGCTGAGGGAGGTGCCATCGTCCTGCTAGATGTGTCACTTGTCAAGCATGTGAGGGGCGGGGGATATCACCCAGCCAGACAGAGTGAAACTGGAGGGAGAGGGGCAAGGTGTAGAGAGGGTATAGCAAGTCTATTAAAAGGTTTGTGAATAATCTAGGGGGCTGTCAAGCTGTGTTCTCCAAAAGGAAGAACCTTTTCAACTATCCTTTAATAACTATTGAGCTAACCCTTAATAGGCCCAGGGCACAATGTCTTCCCAGCAATTCTTTTTCTCCTCCCTCCTGTTCTTGCCCCTCCTCACTGGCCTTTCAGGCAATTCAGAGAAAGCACCACAGATTGAGCGCAAGCTGAGTAAATTGCATTGGTATATTTTGAGCCAGAGAATCATCACGTTAAAGTTATGGCCATGTATTGTTTAGTTGAGCATCTATGTGTTCCAGACTCTTTGTGAGGTGCCAGATAGAGAATGACCGGAGAGTTAAGGTTTCTGCCTTAATATGAGTTAAACCAAAACGTTCTCACAAAACACTGTGAAAAAAATAAAAAAATACTGTTCATCATTAGTGTTTTATAAGAGAATTGGGAAACATGTTCAAGACCAATGAAGGGAGTGCAGTCATCCCTACATTTCACAGGCTGTATTCTTTGATGTGCTTTTTTTTTTTTTTGATAGAGTTTCACTCTGTTGCCCTGGATAGAGTGCCATGACATCATCATAGCTCACAGCAACCTCAAATTCTTGGGCTCAGGCAGTCCTGCCTTAGCCTCCTCAGGAGCTGGGACTACAGGTGCCTGCCACAACACCTGGTTAGTTTTTCTATTTTTAGTAGAGACAGAGATGGGGTCTCCCTCTTGCTCAGGCTGGTCTCAAACTCCTGAGCTCAAGCAGGCCACCTGCCTTGCTCTCCCAGAATGCTAGGATTACAGGCATGAGCCGCCTTGACCAGCCCTTTGATGAGTTAGCAGAGTTTTTTCCTTTTGTTTGTAAAAGAGGATTCTATAATCAAGGAAGTTTTTGAAATACTGGAATAAACATAGTAAATAATGTTCCTTTTTGGTGTAGTGCTTCTCACAGGCTAAGAAGGAAATATAATTGGCTGTAAATTTCCCAAGTTTCTTTGGTTACAGAAGCCCATTTTCCAAAAAGCACATTAACATCTCACAGATCACCAGCAATGCGAGGAACACGATTTTGGGCATACGCTTCCCTCTGCAGCATCCCTCACAAATAGTCACCCAAGTGGAGTTGCTCTGAGCCATCTTCAACTATAGCTCAGTTGTTTCTGAGACCAAAAATACTGTTAACAGGCACAATTTCATCACTGCCATTGCTGATACTGACTAATGTTTTTTGGCAACAGAGCCCCAATCTGGGTGCTGGGTGTAAACTGAGCTCTTGCTGCCAGGACACATGAGGAGCCAGCCCTGGCCAAGCCACGCAGTGAACAAACTCTGTTATCTGGAACCCCACTGATGAACCACTGGAATACACAAGTCTTTCAGAATGTGTGATTTAGAATCATGAATAAACACAGACCTAGCAGTAAGAAGATCATTTGATTCGTCCTTACGAATCAAATTACGGCAGGCCTAAGTCTTAACTTTCTCAGAAAAATGACTTTTTTTGTTCATTAAAACGCTCCATAGCCTTTTGACATCCAGTTCTTTGGCTTCTTTCTCCTAATAATCAGGAACAGTTTTCTCTGAGGTCTGGCCCACAATCATCTCTGTTTGCATGGAACTGACCAGAGCTGATCAGACTGAAGATGTAGATTTCATATGCTGAAATTGGCAGGTGCCTGCCTTTGTCCCATCCACTTCGAAAGTGGTTTTTTGTTATTGTTTATTTTTAACTTTTTACTCCACTTCAGATACAATCATGTCTCTCTGAACAGAGGAGGGACAAGACAGAAGACAGAAGTTTGGTAAAAGGAGACAGTCTTGAAAGCAATTTTTAATAAATGTATCTGTTACCCTATGCGGTGATGGCCGCCATGTTCAATGGAAGGCTACATTCTGACATACTTGAATGGGAAGCAGAGAGAAAACGAGAGAAAGTGGGAGGGAAAAAAGAATGTCAGAGAAGTCCACAGGAAGCATAAAGACTAAAATAAATCAAAATCAAAAGTTAGGTTTTCTAAGTTCGGTAGTGAACGAGAGAAAAAGGCAAATTGCAGTGATGAGAAGCACTCTGCCATAGAAATTCTAAATTCTTGATTTTACTAATGGAGCATGTGTGTTTTAAGCATAGCATTTGACTTTTCTGCCCTTGTTTCCTTCAACGAATTTGGGATAAAATACCTCCTTTGAGTTTCAAATGGGCATTAGAATTAGATAAAATATCTACTGTGAGTTTCAAATGGGTATTAAATAAAATATCTACTGTGACTTTAAAATGGGCATTAGTGTGTGAAGTGGTATAGAGAGAGGATTTGGAAGCCTTACATTTGTGAAGTGCAGTTCAGGGCAACTATTCAGAAAGACCTGGGGGGCAATGGTAGAGAGGAAGAGTCCAGGTGAAGCTTGAGAACTCTTAGCTAAAAGGCACAAGTGTTAAGAAGGATTTCTTAAAATGCCCCCAAGCTCTATTTCAAGGTCCTAGAAAACATCCTGCCAAGAGTTGTTTGTTTTGTCTAAGGTGCATGTTATAATCCTTCTCAATCCCTGATTTTTCAAGGAACTTGCATCCAACTTGTGGTATAAGAATCCAGCATATGGATTTCTATGTATTCTTTGGTTCAGTGTGTGTTAGCATTACAGACAGAGCAAGTAATCACTATTTAGTTCTAGATTTACTTCTTGTTTTGTCCATAGCCTCACTGGGGCCAAGCCTGGGCCAGCTCTGTAGAATTGCACCATGATGGATGAAGAAAGCCAGAGCCCAGACCAAGGTCTGTAAAGTATGTGGAGGACCTTCATTTAGAGAGACGGAGCTGAACACAGCCTGCCTTTGTCTTTTTTGAAAATTTGTCTGATTTAGAGTACAAAGGCTTAGAACTCACATCACCAAATGCTGCAAAACCGGTGACTGTTTTTATGACCTCAGAAAAGTATTTGGCTTTTCTGTGTTCAGTTGTCTCATTTGTTAAGTAAGGGTGTTAGGATGTTCCAACTCAGTATATTATGGTGAAGCTGATGCAGTGTCCATCACTAGGAACAGGGGAGATTATGAGTCAACCCACAATAATACCAAATCAGGAGTGGGGCGAGGCAGTGCTCAGCTGTGCTGCACTGGGCTGGATATATTATCCTGTGTGTAAAGATCTGGGAACTGCCTTGCTTCTGGCAGATGGCTTTAAGTATTAAGGGACTGTTTTTCTTTCTTTCAGACCAATGATGCCTTAGGAGCCACCTGGAATTGGCTGTACTTCATCCCCCTCATCATCATTGGATCCTTTTTTGTTCTCAACCTAGTCCTGGGAGTGCTTTCCGGGTAAGCCAGATGTTTCACTCTCTCTCAACTTCTTTGCTGACTGCTAACTGTAAGCTAATGCCTCCTGACTCATGGCAGATTCATTCATTTAGCCTTCATTTAGAAGACATTTACTGAGCAGCCCCTATGTGCCAAATGCTGTTTGAGACGCTAGGAATGCAGTAGTGAACCGTCATTCTAATCATCTTTATTATTCTTAGGAATTAAAAAAATCATTGTGTCAGCACAACACTGAACACCATATTAAGCAAGAGTTCACTTACCCATCCATCCTTTCCTTCAGTATCTCAACAATCTCAGGCCTTCTGTGTCAAACATTGTGCTCTTTGGTAGGGATACAGAATCGAACAATATACAGGCTTTCCCTCAAATGATTCTTATTCTGTAGAATATTGGACACCAAATCTTATAGTTATGGCCTGAATTAGCTCACGCCCATCTACAGGCATTCAGTGTCCAATACCATGGTGAGCATTGTGATGAGCATACAAAGTTATGGTTCTTCCCTTTAAGAAACATGTTTTGTGGAAAGACAACAAAAACACTTGAAACAGGAAACAGGAGGGTTGTTATTTTTTCATAATTTTGTTTGGGAGAAAGGACAATCTATGTAGCCTGAAGTTATCAGAGATGGTTTCATGAAGGATTAGGATTTTGCTCAGGATCTAAGATATGTAATAGAATAACATATGAGAGTGAACATTTCAGGAAGAGAAACATGACACCATAAGCAAAGATGAAGAAATGGGACTTGTTATGGAGTGTGAAGAGATTATAAGGTAGCATTTCAGGATGGCTAAGATAGAGATGTATTTTTACATTTTTCTATGCAAAACCAAACTTAATTTCTTGTCAGAGTAGCCTAAGTTCTTCAAATGAAAATTTGTAAGGTGGTGTTTCTGCTTTAAAGTGGCAAATTGAACCCAGTTGGTCATTTCTTGAAACTTTGCTAACAAGGGAAATAGATTTTAAGAAGGGCACAGGTCAGAGAGGACAAGAGGGATGATAATGGATGAGACATGCCAGCCAAATTTTTAACGATAGAAAAGGGTGACTGATGTAGGAAGAGGTGAGATTTAATTGCCTGCAATGGAGAATGCCAGTAGAAAGCAAACTGATTGCCCTACAAAGCCCTAGGAAGTATCAGGAATTGAGAGTTGGAATAGATGTGTTGGGGCTGAGCCTGTGGCTCAAAGGAGTAGGGCGCTGGCCCCATATGCCTGGGGTAGCAGGTTCAAACCCAGCCCCAGCCAAAAAAAAAAAAAAAAAACTGGAATAGATGTGTTGCTGAATCCAAAATTAAAAAACAAAAAACACAAAAATACCCCAAACCCAAGAGGGAGGATTGTTTCAAAGTCCTTATAAAGAATATCAGATGCCCTCTCCTTACCTCTGATTGCAACCGCCCAGGCAATGATGCCAGGCATCTGCTCCACTTAACCCCCACCCCAGCAAAAGTTAGGAAAAATTAGAGAAATTTGAAATGGTACTTCTGTGGTTTATCTTACAAGGGTATAAGTGAACCTTTCTTAGAGTAGAATATGAACGTTTTGGCACAATAACTAGGTAAATGACATGAAGGCTATGTTAACCAGTTTGATGAAATGTTTCCAATTGTATGTGAAAACACCACACTGTACCCCAGAAGTGCATTAATGTACATAGTAACCATTCTATAAAATAATAATAATAAAAAAAAATAAATTAGCAAGAAATGGTAACAGATACAGGTGAACCTGAGGGTGGATTGATACATTGTGAAAACAGGAGGGTTGAATGAAAATACATAGCTGAATGTCCATATTCCAGTCCACTTCTAGTGCTTGACTCTCAGAAATATAGGGATCTTGTAGGGGCTTAGAGGACTGTGAGGACATAGTCCCTCTATGAGAAAAGACTTGTCTATACTGACATTTTGGGGAATACCAGAGAAACAAGTTTCTACTCCATCACCTTCAGTGAGGTACACTATATTAATTCTATGGCTGCCAAAACAAATTACCAAAAAATGGGTGTCTTAAACTGGGAAAAACTAATTTTCTCACAGTTCTAAAGGGTAAAGGTCCGAAATCTGCCAGGGCCATCTTCCCTCCGTGGGCTCTAGGGCAGAATGTATTTCCTTCCACTTCCAGCTCCTAGTGGCTCCAGACATTGCTTGTCTGACAGTCACATCACTCCATCTCTGCCTCTGTGGTCATAATGCGCCTTCTTCTGTGTAATTTCCCTCTGCTTTGCTCTTATAAAGACTTTTGTTGTTGGACTTTTGTTGTAGGAATTAGGACATGAATATATCTTTTTGGATGGGCTACTATCCAACCTGCCACACTCACCATTTTATGAGCTCCAACCATCCATACAGAGTTTCCAACAAGGGTTTGTTCTTTGCTCTTAAATATGAATACACAGGTGGAGATCATCAGTGTTTGAGGAAAATGTCCAACACAAAAAGCAAAAAAACCAAATAACAATAGGAAAAAGGAACTTCTCTGAATATGAACAATGCAGGGAGCAGAAGACAACTTTAAAAAATTGTATTTGGGCTCAGCACCCATAGCTCAGTGGTTAAGGCACCAGCCAAATGCACAGGGGCTGGTGGGTTTGAACCCTGCCAGAGCCTGCAAAACAACAATGACAACAATAACAAAAAAATAGCTGGATGTTGTGGCCAGCACCTATAGTCCTAGCTACTGGGAGGCTGAGATAAGAGAATCACTTAGGCCTAGGAGTTTGAGGTTGCTGTGAGCTGTAATATCATAACACTCTACCAAGGGTGGTATAGTGAGACTCTGGTCTCCAAAAAACAAAAAAAAAGTTGTATTTTGTATCAGCATAGATGGAAAAGAAATGGTTTCAGGTACAGAATGATGAGTTACTATAAAAGTGTAGAAGATAAGAAGAGCTCGGAAATTAATATAAAATGTGAGTAAAGTAAATTTACATTAATGAAAAATGAAACTTAAAAATGTACTAAAAATAAAAAGTTAGTAAATGGTTAAAATATAAAGTTGAAGAAATCACCTAGAAAGTAGAACCAAAAAGAAAACACAAAAGTGTTGGTCCAACATCGAACTATAAAGGAAGTTCCATAAAGAATATAATAAAATGGAAAGAAAGAAATTAACAAAGAAAAATATAAGAAATGTTCCCCAAACCAAAAGATTAATGTTGTCAGATTAAAATATCTGTTGGGACCTGTGCAAGGATATTCTTTCCAGGATTGTTTCCTGAAAAGTGGGGGAGTTGGAGGTAACCTGAGTACCTATACCTGGGAAATGAGATGGGTAAAATGTTGGATACATGCTATGACATACAATGTCACATGCAGCAACAAACACCATGTATACATGGAGCATAGAATAGCTTAAGAACATAGAGTCTAGTGTAAACAAGAGGGAAACAATGTGATATAATATTACTCACATAAAAATACAAGTATATAGACTTGGTGCCTGTGGCTCAGCGGCTAGGGCACCAGCCATATACACCAGGGTTGGGGGGTTCGAACCTGGCCCAGGCCTGTCAAACAACAATGACAACTACAACAACAGCAACAAAAATAACCAGGTATTGTGGCAGATGCCTATAGTCCCAGCTACTAGGGAAGGTCAGGCAAGAGAATCGCTTAAACACAAGAGTTTAAGGTTGCTGTGAACTGTAATGCCATGGCACTCCACTGAGGGCGACATAGTAAGACTCAGTCTCAAAGAAAAAAAAAGAACCCCCCCAAAAACATGTATACAAAGCATACACAGTTTGTAAAAATGCATTCAAATAAAAGGTACACATTGAACATAGCGTAATGATTGTATAGCAGGGAAATAGAATGTGGATATAGAGATAAAAAGGAACAAATGAGTTTAATTCGTTAATAATAAAAATACACCCACTGAGCACTTAGAATATCTAATGAACAGAGACTACACAAAAGCAAATCATCATGAAATTTCAGAACATCAAAGTAAAGACTCTTCTGAAACTGTCCAGCAATTGGAAAGGGGATAGAGTTTACCTACAAAGAATCAGGATAAAACTGGGCTTTTCAATGGCAACATTGAAAAACAGTAACCAACAGAGAAGTTCCTAAAACTTTTGGCAGGAAAATGATTTCCAAGATAGAATTTTATACCTAGCCCAAATACCAATTATTTTGAGAGTAGAATAGAAATATTTCCAGATACCCTTTCTGAAAAAAGTTACTGGAAATTGTGAATTATCAAAACTATGGAAATAATTGAAGAAAGAAAAAACCATGATAGTCATGGAAACCAGGGATTCGGTGGAGGAAACAAGCAAGGGGGGTTGGTTCCCAGGATGATAAAGGGAAGTCTAAGATGATAGCTCTTAGAGGCCTGGCAAGCATCTAGCTCAGATCCAAATAGGACAACAGAGGGCTCTACAAACATAATCTGCAAGAAAAAAATCAAACTAATATATTCCCTGATGTGTATTGTTTTATTCAGAAGAGTTATATATAGCCAGGTGCTACATTACAATATTTCAGTCAACAACTTACCAAAATACCAAATATATAAGAGTAATATTATACTGGAGCTGAAAAATTCCTATACCATCATGACATTATAGTACAATGTGCACATTTGTAGTGATGTTGAAATAAACAAACTCACATTACCTGTCATATAAAAGTATAGCACATACAGTGCTTAATGATGGTAGATAATTATGTTACTAGTTTATGTATTTGCCATACATTTTTTATTTCGAAATGTATTCCTACTTGTTAAAAAAAAAAAAAAAAGGTTTACTGTAAAAAAGCCATAGGCAGATCCTTCAGGAGGCGCTCCAATAGAAGGCATTGTTAGCGTAGGAGATGACACATCCATGCATGTTATTACTCCTGAAAACTGTCCTATTGTTCCAATAGGACAAGATGTGGAGAGAGAAGACAGTGATATTGATAATCCCAGCTTATGTAACCCTAGGCTAATGTGTATGTGTTGGTTTTAACAAAAAACTTTAAAGAGTAAAAAAAATAAAATTAGGGGAAAAAGCTGACAAAATAAGGATATGAAGAAAGAAAATATTTTTGTATCTTGGTACAGTTTGTTTTTGTTTTTTTTTAAGATGGGGTCCTGATTATGTTGCTCAGGCTGGTCTAAACCATCTGGGCTCCAGCAATTCTCCCATATCAGCCTCCTGGGTAGTTAGGATCCCAGGCACCAACCGCTGTGCCTGGCCCCAGGGTATTTTTTAAGCCAAGTGTTCTTATAGGAGAATCCATCAGTTAAAACAAACTTTAAAAGTTTATAAAGTAAAATAGTTACAGTAAGCTAGGGTTAATTTACTGTTGGAGAAAGAAAAATATTTTTAATAAATTTAGTATAGCTGAAGTGTGCAGGGTTTATAAAGTCGACAGGCATGTGCTGTAATGCCCTAGGCATTCAATACTCACCACTGGCTTACTGACCCCCTACCCCCAGGGTAGCGTCTAGTCTTGCCAGCTCCATTCATGGTAAGTGTTCTATACAGATATACCATTTTAATCTATTGTACCGTATTTTTACCGTAGCTTTCTATCTTTAGATATGTTTAGATGTGCAAATACTTACCTTGAGTTACTGTTGTGTGCAGTATTCAGTATAGTAACATGTTGTCCTGTTTTGTAGACCAGGAATAATAGGCTGTATACCATGTAGTCTAGGTGTATAGAAGGTAATACCATTTAGGTTTGTGTATTTACATTCTGTGATGTTCAC